GTTGGAAGAAACATCAAAGGACGCTATGAATTTAATTCTCTCTTGAGAGCTGAAGGGAACAGAAATGATTTTGGCTTTCCCCCCAAACACGCAATAGATGCGAGTGCTTAGGCTGATTACCATGCCACTGGTTTCGGGATCGAATTTCAAACAAGGCTTGGATGTTTGAAATTGTTACATCTTTGCGGCTTGGACGCATTTTATGTTTGCCGAGCTGAAATTTGCCGATAGTTTTCTAGTAGTGAGTATGGGTAAAAGACCATCGTATTCCATTCCCTGGGGCTCTTTTGGTCAAAACCAGGGACGGAGCTTGGACATCTCTTGTATGCTTTAATAATTAAATAATCTATCAAACTAAGTTCGGAAAAGTAACATACTCTTAAAAATTTAAAGTATTAATTCCTCTTTATTAGACTTAGGTTCATGTCATGCCACTCATGCATGTAACGAATTAACTAAACAACTTACGATTAGTTTGATATCTGAATGTTGGTTTATACGTTATTTTCGCGGGAAATTGCTATTTCTGCTGAATGCGTGTTGTCATACCTCATTTGTTTTATTCTCTTCCGAGATGTAAGTAGAGAATTATCGCTAATTTTGTTCTTCAGATCTTAAATAAAAAAAAAAAAAAAAAAAAAAAAAAAAAAAGTTTTACATCACTATAACGATCTCTGCCTCATTTATTTTCAGTTTATTCCTGTGTAAGATTTATGTTAATTAACCCGTTATTGCGATTTGAAGCTTTGCTTCTTCTTTTCGGAGTCCTAATCAGATTTCAAATTAGTTATTGCGTATTTAAGCCGATAGTTTGAAGATTTAGATTTAGAGCTTATGGCAGCCTTAGTCTTGTTGTTACTTACTACGGTCTGCTCTGTCAACGTTATTCCGACTCCGAGCGTCTTGTTAACCCACATTTGAAATACGCCAGTTATTTACCAGTTATTTATGAATAATTACCAGTTAGATGTAATCATAAGCCAACTTAAGTAATATATTTTATGTGCAGTCTCTGACTACGTTACCTATATTTGAATTGAATATTTATCTTATAAATGTAGCGGAGGTTCGTCTATCGCACAAGTAGCCGAATAGTAAAGGTTCGTCTATCGCACAAGTAGCCGAATAGTAAAGGTTCGTCTCGCACAAGCAGTGACTTTCTGTTTATTTAAGAGTTAAATAAAGAATAGGTATTTTAAACCCTAAGGAGACTTTGTCATTATCTCAAACTAAAGCGATAATCACTTCCAGTCTGGTAAAGTCTACAGGACATTGAAACAAGCTTCCACTTACAGCAGAAACCTACATCTATTAAAATTAACTGATAATTAAAATAGAACCTTGGAGAAAATGCATTAAGCAGCATTAAGTGTTGGCATACATTTTTCTGCTTGTTTTTTCAGTTCATCATATCAATGCTCAGTTTTCTTATTAAGATGGCTTTATAAAACTTTTATCTTTTTATTATTAATGTTTGTGTGTTTACTTTATTTATTAAATATCACGTTCTTGGTTTTTACGGCACATAAAATTCGAATGCGAGAAACATATATACATTCGTGCAGATTATTCATTATTTAATTTCTTTAAATATAATAAAGGGCGATAATATTTGGTGACAACAATTTGAAAAGTGAAACGGGCATTTATAGTGAACCGATGAAAAATGCCGTTTCGAGACTAATAACCCTTTTGGGCTAACGCCCTTTTAGGCTAAAAAGATGATTAAACAGGCCTCTTTCAATAAAAAACACATCAGATAATTCAATTAACGACAAATCTATAAAATTAATTTTGAAGTGTTCATTATATCACGCATTTCTCTAAAAGCATTTTTTTCCCCTGTTGATTAAAAGTAATATAATCCTACACAGAACTGGATATTTATTTTTTTGAACGGTTTTTATCCTGAGGCAGAGTTTAATTTCTAAAATTAGAAAAGAAAATACAAACAGATAAATAGGAATTAGATTAAATTTGGTTACATTAAAGATACACGGGTAAACAATAAATTAAAATAACTTATAGTAAATATTAAATAAAATACTGAAACAAATGAAAGTTAGGAAAGTTAACGACAGGAAAACATGAACCAGTGGATGAAAGGAAGATAAATATTTTGAAAAGCATTCTTTTAGGTAAAATTGCTACTTTATAATAGCTTCTATTATATTTAATGTCTTCTTGACCGGATGATCAATAGTCCATAAATAATCGCCTTCCGGGAGGTATCCTATTTCGAAAGGAGGTCTATTCTTCATCTGCTCAAGTTTATTTGCGCATTTTACTCTGTCTAGGAATAATGAGGAATGCATTCAATAACTTGAATGAATACCAATATTACTAACTGTTAAAAGAAACGTTTTCTACAATGGTATAATTTTCTGCTAATATTAAGATTCAGTTATATATAACAGAGTAACAGAGTTAATCTTACTTGGGGTTATTTAGGTTTTTGAAGCAGGAAACCTAACAAAGTAACTGCTCTGTCACCAGGATTCGAGCTACAAACCTTCCATTTGGCAGCTAAATGAACAATTACTTATACTAAAAGAGCACGCTTGGGTAAAACTATTAATTTTTTACAAGGTATAGCTGAACAGACATAAGGCAGGCATAACTTGAATCAAAAGAATTTTATTCTGCAGTGGCGAAGTATCTCAGAAGGAATCGATTATATAAAGTTCCATGGATGAATTGATGATACATTTCGTGTGCTAAGGAGAGATTTCTGTATATCCGCGTTCTTCTTGTGTTACGTATTTCTAGCAATTATTGTGCGGTGTGTGCAATTATTGTGCTTATTTTCATAATCAATTATTAATTTCTTCCTGCTTATCTGGGCTTAATATTTGAATAAACATCAATGATCCTGTAGCTCTCAAGAATACAGTTTTAATTAAAAAGATATAAAGACGTTATGGCGGGCTGAATGACAGCAACTTTATCAACAATTTACCAGACAGCCTGGAAGATGAACGATCATATATATGCCTTGTTGAAAGGTAATAACTGGCTTTCTGCGTGCATGATAAATGTTCATAGAAAGTAGTGGTGAGAACACAAAAATAAAATAAAAAATAAAATCTAGGCTAATAAGCGTTTCCTCAGCTCAAATTCGAATTTACAGTCTGATGTTTCAGTTAAACACTTGTTAACTTTCGCTTTCCAGCATTAGAATCAGAGTGTATTTTTAGCATAAATCCAAACAAAACTTCCCTTTTCAAGCTATTTCCATAAGAAAAATTTACTTTAAAAAACAAAAAAGTATTTTTCAGGTACATTAGTAAAAGTTACTATTACTTATTGCTTAGCAGGTCTACAAAGAGTGACTGAAAAAGTTTGTAAACTCATTTTGCATTTTAATAAGATAACATCTAATCTCACGCTGATCAAGTTATAGCATGATCTGTTTACAATAACTGAATTGGGAGTATTACTTAGTTTCCCTGCTAATATGAGCTTTCTACCTTTCAAATTATATTCGGTACGTATGGCGTATTATTCAGCTGTCAAATATTTGTGACGAAGATTACCTAGGAGCATCTGTAGATTATTATTGAACAAATTACCCTTTGTTTTGCAGATTATCAAGATTGTTGCCATTGCTATTAATGTACGAACAGGTGTTAGAATGAGGTTAACGCCTTATTGCCCCTGCAGCTTTAGAACGTTTGGCATACGCCAACGTCCAGCTTGTATATACGAGGTTTATATTTATAATAAATCTTTAATAACGCTGTTTTAAAAGATCAAGGAATGCATTAGTTCATTGCTGTATGCTGCAATAAAGATCCCAGATAGTTCATAAAATAGAATTTTGGCTTTATAATTCGCTTAGTTTGTATATAAAATAATGCTGAATAGCTATTTATTCCTCTTGGCACTTAAAAAAATTTAACTTACTTCAATAAAGAGAAACTGATTTTAAATGATGCTGCTATCTTACATATTTATAGTCATTGAAGTACAAGAATAAAAACTTTAAAATGGAAAAAAGTATTCTCTGTACACATTACTTAAGCTTAAATTGTATCGTGAAGCTGCAATATTACGTTTATAATACCTACACTTTTTTTCTGTTTTTAGCTGCTACTCATATCCTCGATAACAATACTTAAGTGTCACTTATTGCATCTCAAATATGGAATTAGTAGAGCTAAAATTTCACAGATAAGCAACTGAGAATTTAAGTTGAAAATTAAGGTTGAAACATAATATACCTCATTGCTTTAATTAGATCTGCCTTATGTAAGACTAAAGTATCATGAAATAAAGTGCTGAAGAGTGTACATTAAATTTTAGAAACTTAACAATTTATCACTGTAATAAAAGTTAAGGTTACAAGTAGTATATACATTTGCATAATTTTCATTAACTTAAAATTAGATTTTGATGTTGAAAAGCATGAATAAATTAAGAATATTAAAATAACTACACTAAAGAAAACAAAATGGAAATAAATACCACTTACAATTTAATGCATTTGAGTTATATTGCATGCAAATTTACAAATATGCACATCGATGAAATAAAGTTTTTCTTCTCATGAAAGCCTTTTTTTTTCCAAAGCGGAGCGAAAATTGAATTAAATTGACTTTTAAATGCTCATAAATAACACATTTTTGTCTTTTCCGGCGATATTTCTTCAAAATACTGATGATAATGAGATGTTAAAAATCCGCATTTATGCATGGATAGAAAAAGAAGCACAGATGATTTGAAATTGTTATATTTTTTTGATAATTTTACAGGGTTCATTTTGGAGTGAGCAGTAGCAGTCAATATTATGCACATGTGAAAAAATACAGTTAAGAGAAACTCATCCAAAATGTAAACCTTTGTCATGATATGTTTCTGACAAAATTATTAATAAAATGAAAAGTCTCGTCACTGCAATTTTCGTATCATTTTTGTATTCTATTTACATATCGTTTAAAATATCTCTTGGGGCAGTAATCATTTTTCTTTGGGCCAAAATTTTATCTTTAAAACGGGACTTATTCAGCGAATCCGTTTGGGCTTTTTGTGTCAGGGGAAGACAGATCTTGCGGAGAAGGATTGCCACATGTTGGCCAGCATTCACCTCCTTTCTTCTTACTGTCATCTGGGCTTGTGGAAGTACTGGTTGATAAAGAAGTCCCAAAAAAGTTCGGGTAACCCGGAGTAAATGTTGGAGAGATTCCAGGAAAAAACCCAGAATAAGCGGGCACTGTCAATAAACCTCGAGCTCCTGGAGATGAAACATAGGGCCTACGGAAAGTTAAGCCACTTGCAGTCATAGCCAAATTAGAGGTTGGTCCAGAAGAAAAAATGTTGGGTGAAGTTGAAAATCTCGGTAAAGGAGCTGGTTCTCCAAGATGGTTGGTTTGGCGGGGACTGGGTATTCGAGATAAAGGCGAAGCACTAGGACTAACGGCCTCAGAAGAAGTATCGTTCATTGTCTTCTCTGGATCAGGCTCTTTCGTGCTCAAGAGATCATCTATGGCTTGAAGAACATCTCCTCCATTTCTCTGTAAAACTACATTCAGAATACCCCGGTTTTCTCTTGGAAACACTCGCGCTAAAATATCTATTGGTGATTTCTTTTTGTGCAAGTCAAATGGTCGAATCTCGCTCGCATGTGTCTGGCTTTCAACTGGAGAAGGGGTTCCATTTCGATGGTGAAGGTCCAGTGGCTCTTGGGAGCTCCATTCTGGTTTCCTGGTTTCCGCAGGGGGAGGACTGGAAGCATCAGGCTCTTTTGGAGGACGATCGTCATCATCGTATGCTTCCGAATCTGTTGTGGTTTCCTCTGCATCAGGCCGTCGTTTGAGTCCATCACTCTTCGGACTGACAGCAGTTTCAGTAGGCGATAGACGAGATCTCTTCCATTCTACTTTAAATAAAACTCAGAATTAGACAAAATTTTAACAGCGTTATTACTTACCTTTGAATATCTCCTTGAATACTGCGACTTCATATGGTCAATAAAGGTTTGCTTTTGCCATCTGCTTATGAATGGATATTCTAGTAAATATACAAAGGCTAGTACTAAAAAAATAAATAAAATTCAATTTTTCAACAGATGAAAATATATTAACACATTCTTTAAACCTATTCTGAGAAATCATCGTCTATATTTGGGATCATATTACATTTAATAAAATTAAATGCGTTTAAAATTGCTTATTATGTTTTTTATAAGGGACATGCGAAGTAAAAAATGGAGATATATTAGCATTAAATCGCTCAGCAAAAGTGAAAAAATAATCCAAAAGGCTTAACGTAAAAGTGTTTTGTTTATTTTGATTATTTAACAAAATAATCACTGTTCTCCTCCCATCAACGCTTTCCATTTGGCGCGCTCATCTCTTTTTTTTTTCTTAATAAGATTTCAAACAGTGTGAATTGCACTCTTGATTCTATCACTGCCTGAAATAGATTGCATTATTTTCTAAGAGGGGTTTTTTAGTGTACTGTTATTCGACGAGAATTCGATGAGAAATTGAAATAAAAAATAAGGCACTGATTCGTGTTTAAATGTAAAAGAATATCGTAAAGGAGTATTGAATAGAGGAAGGATGAGCAAAGTTCATTACGTTAAGAGATCCAACCAAAAAATTAACAGTACATGATAGTAAAACCACTGTAATCGCTATAAACGATCTAAACACTATTATGCGAATAAAAAGCTATATTAGAAATTCTTAATTAGATAAAAAATTAGCAGACCCAATAAATATTACATAACATTAATTTCAATGGAGCAGTAATTTTGTTTTACCCTTTGTTACACAATATAATCATAATATCAGAGCAATAAATCAAATAATTTTCCTCTCCTATAATTGCAAAAGTCATTTTAATATTCATTAAAATTAAAATATTTGATACTTACTTTAAATACTTACATATTGCTGCATGAGGTGGAACAAAAGATTCAGATATTTTTTAAAAAAGTATTTTTATGTTACGTATTTCAAGATTATTCATTACCATCACACCAGAAAAAGTGCATTTACTAAAAAAAAATGGGCCTATTTCCTGCCTTTAGACTGTCTACTAGCTCTTGGACAGCGAAAATGCCTTTTTCCTTTCTTAAATTCTTGATCATTGCGACACGACAATTAGCCAGAAATTAATTAATTTCCATTCACTAGTATTTTTAAAAAAATCTTAACAGACGGTCTCTCTCAGATAAGAACTCCACAAAATACATCCCTCAAGAATTCCAAGTCCCACCCACTACCATAAATTTCTTCACCCAAGTCTTACCGACTGATATAATTCAAAGCCCCTACTGCCGCCGCTAAGAATTTTCGGACACCCTACACTTCTGAGTCAGACACGAAGAGAACACAATTGCCAAACTCCCCCACTAGAAAGAATGTAAGTTACTTAATACCTTTCTGGCCTTTATATCTTCATGTACATTCACTGATCTTATTTATATTATTTTCTATTTATTTTTATATTTTTTTATATTATTTTTATGTTCTCTTTGATTTGTTTTTACAAAAGTTTGCATTATTTATCTTTTTTTATAATCTTCTATGTTTATTTCAACTTTGCTTTGATTTTCGATTTCATAATGACAATTTCCAATGTTTAATTTCTACAAATAATATAGTACTCAAATACATAAGATGATAGTGTCGGGGACGGTTACTCGAGTTTTACAGGATTTCTCTACAGTAATTGATTTTTACTCCAAATTGAATTGACTAAAATGCTTCATGAGAATAAGTTCTTTGAGTAACAACTATTCACGGAAATATTTGGCCTGACTAGAATTGCCGGTTTGGCTTTAACTTATAACTCGAGTAAAGACGAAAACACTTTCATATTTACGTATTTTTATCAATTATTGATCATTGAACGGGAGTTGGTTTGTTCCCCTTGAAAAGTCAACTAATTTCCGATCAATGACAATAATTACATGTTTTAATTTTTACTTTTACAATTGTAATATTATTCTTTGTGATGATTTAACTCCAGTCCCCGTTAAAACATTATTAACATTTTGCTTTCAAATTACTTCAAAACATCTTTCAAAATATAACTTACCAGTATGGATGCACACTTTTAAAATAATTCTACTTTAATTAAACTTAGGAGATAATATAATCAATTAACCAATACTGTTTAGGAAATAAATTATTATTAACTATGCAGCAATTGCGCAAGTAATAATAACTTGTATTCGCACTAAATGGATTTAAGTTCATACAACAATATATATATATATATATGTGTGTGTGTGTGTGTCAGGACATCAAGAAAGTTTTCTCCATATGTAATTGACGGTTATCAGTGAAAACATCCCAAACAAAAACGTCGCGGTGGGTCGGGAGAAGTAATATAAGAGAAAATCATTGTTTCATAATAGATCGTGAAGATAAGAAAGCAAAAGCAAGAGAGGAAACATCGTATTTCTAAAAGCACTGCAGTATAAAACATCGTGATGGAAAAACTGCAGCGATACAATTTCACAGGTTGAAAAGATCATGGTAAAAGTAAAACTATTATGGAACATCGTCTGACGATAACACAGCAAACAAGAATATTTTTGTTTTAAAAGTTCAAACTTTTGCTCCTTGCTGCAGTATACAACGTCTGATGAGAGCGAGAAGAAACTAAGAATAATTTTAACCATACTTTCTTACCGACTAGCAATTTTTGCTTGGAAATTCAAGAAGGAAACTCTAGTATTCATGATGCGAAAATACATGGAAATTATAATTCCATATTGGAGAAGTTAATATAATTTTAATCTTATGAAGTTAGCTGTTAGAAACCGTTATTTTATTTATTCCTTTAATAAAATCGTATTTGTATTTTTCTTTTTAAAACAGCAGAAAATAGAAAGGATTAGAAAAATAGGCTTGCTTTTATTTTAGATTTGGGAAAATCCACATGCAGTCAGTCCTTTCAATCATAAAGTACAAACTACCAATATTTCACAGTTTTATATAGTTATTAGATAAAATTTCCATACATATATATGATATAAAGTTAGTGTAAAAAAATCATGAAATGCAAGGATATATTTCAAAATGTTTTTGAATAAAATATTCCCCAAGAAATTAAATAATACTTTGTAAGTTACTTAAATAAATAAAATAAAAACTTAAAGAAATATCAAATAATATATGCAAAAACAGTTTTCCTTTCTTTTGGCTTTCATAAGCTATTGCAATCTAATTTTTCAAACTTTATTATTTTATAATATGAAAACTTGCCATATTTTCATCATGCCATTTTAAATTATGAAGTTTCTGGGAAAACTGACGTTTATGCTGTAGAGACATTAGGTATTTTGGAAGCAGGAGGGATGAAAAATGAGTAGTATCCTCGCTGGGACTCGAACCACGGACCACTACATCACGAAGGCGGGAGAAATACCTTATAAAGCTAAGAAAGCGGGAGAAATACTTTATATACTCTCCCTTTATATATCTCCCTTTATATACTGGTGACTAGGGGACCCAATCGCCAAATCCTGGTGGTGCAGAATCATCATTCACCACCTTTTAGTTCAGGCGCCACTGTAGAGACGTTAGGTATTTTGGAAGCAGAAGGGATGAAAAATGAGCAATGCCCTCATCGGAACTCGAACCACGACCTCTCGAATACGCGCCGGGCGTGCTGACTTCTACACCACGAAGGCATGCTAAGAAAGTGGGAGAAATACCTTATAATACTTCTAGAAATAATTTTTAATTTTAATATTCTTGCGGTATGATGAAAACACAAACTCCTTTTCCTTAACGTACTTCCAAAGAAAAATTAATATATTTGCACAGATACAGCCTTATATATTTTGCTATAATTCCGAATTAATAACCAAATTATAAAGTACGTGAAAGTATTAGCGAAATTACGCGTTACAAGAGTAAAACGAATCTTTAATGAAAGCATATAACAAATATAACAAGTGCAAAGACAAACGATTTTGTAATTTGACTATTAAATCAAACGATTTTAGTGTACGTAACGTTGCAGAGTTAATCTTCATCATACTGTAATTTTTCATTAAAAGCTACTGATACCTGTTTGCAAAAATGATAAACTAATGGATAAATTTCTAACCAATAAATAATTTTAAAATTCTATTAACTGTGATGCCTACCTGTAGTGTCTACTCAGTATTACAGTATTATGTATTGAACATTAAAGCTGTTACTTTAGTTGAACCTCTTGTTACTTTAGTTGAAAATATTAATTATTTAAAAAAATGTAAAATAGTACAGGAAAAGATATTGGCAAGATAAGTAATTGAATACTGCATCATTGAACACATACCTGAAACTTTTAAAATCTGATAATGCATGTTTACGATGTTTTCGTCATACGATATTCTGAAAAATGCTTTATTTCTTATCGCGGTGTTTTAAAAAAAGTGGGAAATTTGATTGCTGCTTTATTTTTTACGGCAATCACTCTCATTGTTTTTTTCATCCCATGATAAGGTTTACCCTTCGCATTGTACTCTCCGCGATATTCTGGCAAACACCGTAATTAACAAGTCTGAAGCTATACAGCTTAGCTTAGATTCAATCATTTTGATAAAAATGAACACCAAGGAGTTGAGTACACTTTTCGAATAATGTGACAAATGAATTAATCCCAGGCAAATAAGAAACTACTTCTCTAAAGTTCATAAACACTCTGACTGCCATTTAGATAAGACTTGAATTGTAAGTCTATATGAAAAGCCTTTCAAATAAAATAATCAAGTGATAAGTCAGGACAAATACGCCTTATTCGTCTTACGGATAAGTCGATAGAAATAGGCCTTATAAAAGAATCTTTTTAATGACTCGTGTGAGGTATTTGGTTTACAATTGATCGTGAACAACCTCTAATTCTCTAGTATCTAATTGTGCTGCG